GTGGTCCTATACCATCAAACTTGTGTCACTAACGTTTGACCTTAAAACACTTATTACTGCATTTAATAGGATGCCCAGATGTAAAAAAAGAAAAAAAACTAAAAAAATTAAAAAAAAAAAATTTACGGGCTTAATAAACCATGTTGGGACCCGAAATACCCCAATTACTGTTTCCTTAATAACTTTTAAACCATATTTACTCATTGAATAAAATTTTACAAAAAGTTTTGTTTTACTATGAAGAACAATTTGAACTAAAATCAATAAAATTTATTGAGTAGTTTAAATTTTATAGATAAAAAATCATTTATATCAAAAATTTACTATAGTTACGTTAGTTCTAAGACCAAAAATTCAAAAAATACAAAGTAAAAAACTTTCTTTTTAGTTCAGGTTGTAGATCAAACCTAAACGAATAACTTGGGAAATTTTTAGATCAAACTGTTAAGTCTAGGAAATTTTATTCTGGAAACGGTGAGGAAAAATAGGCTAAAATCAAAAACTGAGAAAAAACGAAAATAATAAATAAATAGAAAATAACAAACATTAAAATGATATTACACATAAAAAAATCAATATGATCCAGTCATATAAGACTCACAGTCATTTGTGTTTGTCTGTTCATCAATAAAACCCTTTCTTTTAGCTCTTAAAACTTTTCTTTGTTTTTTACAGAAACTACTTGACTTCTTGTTAGCTTTTTTTATTCTACATAAATCTCGTTTTGGACCATTTATGCAAAATAAAGCTCCAGGAGTAATGTTTCAAAATTTAAATACATTATGAAGTCCATTAAAACCATCATTAAAATGAATAATTGCTGAACAAACACCAATTTTAATTATTTTTTGACTGCAATATTGACTTTTAGGGCATCGAGACCAAATCATTGCATTAAGTGACTCATTGACATTCTGGGTCATTCCATGCAAACATTTTATCAATAAACTATCAGCACTTAGCTCCATAAAAATTGGTTTTAAAATATCTCTAATAGCAGCAGGGAGTGATAATTTAGGTTCATAATTTAACCTTTCCACTTCATTTAGTTTGTACCATTTGCACCAACTATCATTGGTTCTTGGACAATATAGATGTCTTTGAGCTTTAGTATCAGACTCACTACAATGAAGCAGAACTGCAATAATGGCTTTTTTCATGCTATAAACTTCAAAGTTTTGTCTGATGGACATGCCAAAGTAGTTTTGCAGTAAGTTAATAGCAGATTCAGTTAAGCGCCCTTTTCCAACAAGTTTTTTCCCATCTACTAAAACTTGTCCTTTCATACTCTGTCGTAGTGAACGTAGTCTATTCCCAAGTCTTTTTTGTATGTGACCAACACATTCAAGTTTATTAATAACAAAATCTTCACCATATGGCTTACTCTCTACAACTTTAAGAAATGAGCTGCTGTCACCATCCCCAACATAATTTTTATAACGCAAACCGTTTTGATGAATTGATCGATGAAAAATTGCTATAGCTCCTTGTGTCTCCATTGAGCCTGCTGAGCCCTTGTGGTTTATTGAACACTTATGGCTGCTGTTCCATATTTGGTATTCATTTGTGCCTTTTTTATTACGCCATGACAGGCAAGCTTGACACTTTTTTGAAAGTACTTCGTAGTCAATAACCTTATTGTTAGTACGAGATATTGCAGTAACAACACCATTAAGAGATTCATGACCTCTTTTTTGCCATGTCCCATCTAGAGATACAGTACATTCAACAACTTCATCTACATTAGCTTTGCATTCCCTAACTGCATTGGTCATACTTTCATTAGCAGCAGTCATGTATGAGTTTAACATTTTGTTGTTAATTTCGTTATAAGCTTTGAGATTTATAGGATCTGTTAAACTTAGTATACGCGAAAAGGTCTGAATTGATGCATGACCGTTGCCAATTTCTCGAAATGCCACAACACATCTAGTATTAATGTCAAAACATTTTTGACCACTTTTATTAGGTAAAATAATTTCTTTAGAGGTAAAAATGTTTTTACTCCATTGACAATAAGTACAGGAAAGTCTCAGTTTATTTGCCCATCCTTTCTTTTCTGTTGTTAAATTTTGAGTACACAGTCCCATTTGATTACATTCTGGGCAAACTGAATACAAACATATTGTTTCTGCCAAAATATTAAAGTCTATTAGCAAATAAGTTATATTCAAATCTGCTTCCTTCACACTATTATTTTTCAATTTTAAACCACTTGCTGAACATGGAGCTTCATTTATAATGATTTCTGAAGTAGATATTGGATTCTTTATTGTTTCTAGTGGAGCAACTACAAATCGATTTCCATGAAATACTCTTTTTAAAGGTTTGTAACCTGATTTTCTTCGACCCATAAAAAAAATTTTAACTCTAGTACCAATTTACTAAATTCAAACAAATTAAATGAAGCACGAGGTTAAAGTCAATTTGTTCTTGCAAAGTATAGCCAAAAAATGATTTTAAAAGTTGGCAAACTATACTTTAAAAATGCAGTGTTAACATTTCAAAGATTCATTTTAGCAGTGGGTAAAAAAGATCAGCAAAAACTTTTTTGATTTTGAAATTGCCGTTGCTAGGGGCGTAACTATGGAAAACATTTTCAGTACTTTGTTTAAAATTAAAAATATACCAACTTGTGCTCTGAATTTAGTTAAAACTATTAAAAAATCTTAAACTAGTATAAATTTTGCACAAAATTAAATAAAAAAAAAAAAAATTGAAATTTTCTATTTTTAATGGTATAGGACCACCTTAAGTCAGTCAATAAATTAAAATTAAATTAAAGACAAAATTAGCACAAACACTTTTGGTAAAACACACCTCCCTCCTCGTTTTATAGATATGACTAAAATTCCCACCACTACTTTTATTCTATATTCACTTGTATTAAGCTCGAAAGTAAATTAAAAAAAAAAAACATGTCAACATGTTTTCAAAAGCAGAAGACTATCCAATTCGTAATCGGATAAACCCGGTTTCCGATCCGAATGTAGCGGATATTCGAATAGCGGATATCCGATAAAATCGGAACCAGAATCGATTTAGATTTTTAGCTATCCGAAAATTCGGTATCGGAATTCTGATTTCAACAAACCGAACCGGATATCCGTTTTTGCTAACCCCTATAACGTAACAATATTATACACTTTCACAAAAGAAAAGATTTTAAGAAAGCTAAAAAAAAAACATCACAGGAAGAAAAAATCGTTGCGTATGTATGATGATTGAGAACTTATGTTATTAATGTGCTCAGGTAATTGGTCCTAATAAGCTGCAGATGGTCTTAAAAAAGTTAGCAAAGAAACACTTTTTAAAAAAAATTACATTAAATAAATAAGAAAGTCTTGCTACTCAAGAAGGTGCTGCTGTGGAGGCAAAAAAAAAAGCCCGTAGCTAGAAAAAAATTTAAAACTTTTATTTGATAATCAAAAGCTTTTTTAGCTACATTTATTTTTTTACTATAAATATATGCTGCAGCTGTTTTGTAAAACGCCTTAATATGCTTATTACGTATTTCGAGAAAAACGCAATTAAAAAAAAATTATTTAAAACTAACTCTTTGTTAAACATTTTTTAAAACGAACAATTTTAATGAATTTTTTTCAGAACTCTTTGAAAATATGTATTCAATAATGTTTTTAGACATACAAACTAGCTTATTTTATAAAAAAGTCAAAAATTCTATTTTTAGCCTTAAGGAGTTTAAAAAACGGATGATACAACAAATATATTAAAATGAGATTATTTGACGCAAAATATAAAAGCTCTTATTAAAAGCCACTAAACCAAAAAAATTAAATATAATTAGATAAAAATTTTATTATAGTAAAGTTTTGATTTTAGTGAATATAGTAATTGCAGTTCAAAGTTTTATTACAGCACTTAAAAATTTTATCATAGTGCGTAAAGAAACGCTATATGAATCTTAATACAAATTTTTACGATTCTAATAATTAAAAGTTTTTTTTGCTTAAGCTGTTTTGTTTTTTGGTTTTTGTCGCTATGTTATTATAATAAAAAAAATTGACGAGATTAAAAAAACACAAAATATATTGTTACTTCCGATTGGAAAATTTTAAACTTCAACTTTAGATTTGCTCCTCTGTCGATAATTTCTGATTTCTAAAGTTAACACAGTTAACTTTAAAAATCAAAGTCCCAGTTAACATCCGACGTCAATCCGACGTCGGATTTACGTTGGATTTTCATCAGCGAAGTCAACAAACCTATTCCGATGTTGTTTCAATGTCAGTAAAACGACGTCGGAGCAACGTCAATATCTCAACATCCCCCGACGTCATTTTGATGTCTTTTAATGTAATTCCGACAACATAAAAAAGACGTCGTGATATGGATGTTGTTTTAACGTCAATTAAAAGACGTAGGGCGACGTCGTATTAAAGACGTCATTCGATGTCCCTTGACGTCTTTTGACGTCGATCCAACGTCCATAAAAAGACGTCGGAATAACATCGTAATATATCGCTGATGAAAATTAAATACAAACCCAACGTTTTGTGTGCAATTGCGCTCTTTGATAAAAATGTATACCAAATTTGTTTCTTCTGATAATATTAATACGCTAATTTAATATTATTAGTCGAATTATGTCATTTTCTAGGCTTTTCTATTTTAAAGTAGTTTCTAGGCTTTTCTATACGCTGTTATTTTTTTAATTCTATTTACTAACAACGCGTATTACGGGTTGCTTACTGCTAGTAATAATGGAAGCTAGTTTAAATAATGGTTGATAAAACACCATGAGGTTTTGTATTATGCACTAGCAAAGTTTTTTTAACTGTTAGCATTTTTGAGTATATATTTTTTATAAAATATAACCGTTCGTTTTAATATTTATGTAATATTAAAACAAAATTATTTCTTATCTAAGTTATAATTCCCAAATAGCTATAATTATATATTACTAAATAAATACAGAAATTAATAGGTCCCGTGGTGTAGTGGTTAGCGCGTAGGATTTAGAATTAAATACACCGTGGTTCGATTCCTGCCTTTGGTAATAGTTTTTAGTTTACAAAAAACACGTTGAATCAACATCGGAATGCACGTCGCACGATGTCAGTTTATACGACGTTAAAAAAACATTTCCATTTCCAACGTAAACCCAACGTCGATTCGACGTCGATATCCGACGTCGCTCGACGTTTGTTCGACGTTGAAATGCCCACTGGGATGTCTTCTGCTTCTTAGACCTTTAAAAATGATAGTCAAATAAATAAGATTTTATTTCAATTTTTTATAAAAACTCTATCTATTAAAGATATATGGAATATATTTTTATGGGATATAAAAGGGGCTATACATAAAAGACGTCATCCAAATAGGGAGAGAGGGAGGGGTACGAGATAAAAAGGACAAAAAAGTACAAGGAGAGGGTGGAGTATGTCAGAAAAAGACGTCACTTTATTGATTTTTTATTTCAGTTTAATTATCATGAAAAAATATGTAAATATGTGTTTTTAAGAAGATAATGTATAAGGTGCAGCAGCAGATTTAAACATCATTGAAAGATCAAATAATTTTTTGGGGAGTTTAATTCGGTTAGGCGGGGGCAAGATTTTATAAAGTCCTTTACAAGGGGTATAGGGAAAAAGAACAACTAATAATTATGGGGGGAGGGGATCAAAAATTGGCTAAAAATAATGACGTTTTTTACGGATGGCTCCAAAACTAATTATTTATAATTATTGTAATAAATACAGTCTCTAGTCCGTGAAAATGACATATCTGTACCAGTTTTACATATTTTAATGCATTTGGATGCAACATATTAAAAATTAATAAAAAAAAAAGTAAGATAAATCCAAAAAGAAACTTGACTCGTAAAGGTTTATTTTGCCACAAACTGACGTCAATACGCAAAATCTTTTTGGCTTAACTTTTAGATTAGCGTTTAATAATATTCTTTAGTTCTTAATCATTATCATAAGAATGAATTTTTTTTAATGACTATGTTTTAGTTCTCTAACCCAGTGAAAAATAAAACCACGTCCCACATGGGTTCCATGCGGGTTCTGCGTGGGATTCATGGGATTTATATGGGACGGATTTTTCCATGTGAAATCCGTATGGAATTTTGCCACTTCAAACCCAAATGGATTACATGGGAACAACATGATATTTACCCATATGGAAAATCCCACGTGGGTTTCTTGTGAAATTTAAATGGGATTTTATTTGAAGGCTGCATCTTGTTTTAGCATAAAAATATCTTAAATTAATCTAAAAATATGGCTAGCAAGTATGTAAGTACTACAAATAATTTGTATCTCTATCTAATTAATAGTTTTTGTGCAAATAAAAGTATTATTATGATGGTATGATAGTTGTTTTAATATCAGTATATATAGTAAAAAAAATAAGTTTAAAATTCACATAATTTCCCTTGTTCTTTAATGAAAATGAAGAGAAAAAAAGAAAGGAAAGGAATTCGGTAACTTTTTAGGCTTAAAAACTCTTAATTTAACAATTCATAAGGGACGTTTGAACTACATTAAAGAACATAAACAGGAGAGTTAAAGAAACATTTCAATTTTCAACCTGAATACCACTGTTATTGGGAATAAAGACTCCTAGGTTTTTAAAGTAATATGAATTAAAGCAATATATATATATATATATATATATATATATATATATATATATATATATATATATATATATATATATATAAATATATATATATATATATATATATATATATATAAATATATATATATATATATATATATATATATATATATATATATATATATATATATATATATATATATATATATATATGTATATATATTTATATATATATATATATATATATATATATATATATATATATATATATATATATATATAGGTATATATACATATATATATATATATATATATATATATATATATATATATATATATATATATATATATATATATATATATATATATATATATATATATATACATATATATATATATTATATATATATATATATATATATATATATATATATATATATATATATATATATATATATATATATATATATATATATATATATATATAATAATTTATAAATTAAGCCAATATAAAAATCAACTAAAAATAAATATTTTGAAACAAAAAAAAATATCATCTGGAAGAAAATAAATGAAAAAGTATAGAAAATAGAAGTAAAGAGAAAAAGTTAATGAATGAAATAAATAAAAAGAATGGAAAAAAAGGAAAAAAAAACTTTATGCAATAAAAAAAGATCGGAAAATGAAGATTTTTTTATTTTTTCATATATTTCTTTTGTTTTATTTCATATATTTCTTTAGTTTTCTTTCATATTTTTTTAGGATTCTTTGTTTACGAATTCATTTTTTATTTAAGCGGTCTTGTAGTAATGATTTTTCTTTAGTATTTTAGCGTATAAAAATTATTATTTTTTGTCTGTCATTTATTGTTTTATTTTCTAGTTATTTAACTTTTTTTAAATAGCGATATCTAAATTTTTATAGTGTTATATATTTTTTGTTTTTATTTTCGTTTTAAGTATTTGTTATAAATGTTTTATTCTACCGTGTATTATTATTACTTTTTTTTTTCTTTTCTTTCTTTCTTTATTATTTCTAATTTATGCTGTTCTTTTCTTGTAGTTAATGATGTTGTTTTTTGTTTTTATTGCCAAATGAACTTAACGTAAATTTTTGTTTTGCTTGTAATGTTTGTTGTAAATTTTGTTTTGCTTTGATTTTCTCAGTATTTTTCTTTTTTGCATTCTATTTATTTGCTTTGTCATATTATTTGCAATATATTTCGGTTATTATATTATAAGAAAAATATATTTACTAAATCTGTATAATTTTAGCAGTGGTTGTTTTTATGTCATCGTTAGTTGTTACGTTTTGTCAGTTAATTACTGTTTGTAAGTGTAACTTTGTATGTTATAACGATTGTTGTATCGAAAATTTTACTGATTTATTTAAATTATTTTATTTAGTATATTATTTTTACTATTGTTAAAACAAAATGTTATTAATATTATTTATTATTATTATTATTATTATTATTATTATTATAAATACTATCTTTATTATTATTACTATTTTAATCGTTATCATTAGGTGTTTATCTGAAGTTAGTAGTTTATACTATTTGTAAACAACATTGGAATAAGACCAAATATTTCAGAAAAAAATTTCAGAAATATATATTGATTGATATTGATATATATATATATATATATATATATATATATATATATATATATATATATATATATATATATATATATATATATATATATATATATATATATATATATATATATATATCATTAGCTAGCAAGCTAGCTCATATAACTGCGATAATACAGCCATGGAAAATGATGCACTGTGTGAGTTGCTGGTCTACTTTTTTTTGAAACTGTCAATAGTAGAGACGTTGACAACATCATCCATTAGAGTATTCCAAGTATTTGCAACCCGATTGTTGAAAAAGTTTAGTTGAGCGTAGCAGTTGCTTTTATTTCCGCGATGAAATTGATTGTGATGACCCTAGATGGGAGGAATGTATATTGGATCAATATGGCAGTTGATTAATTCAGTTTTATTTTGAATATTAAATTTTTAGATAAGGTCATCACATTTTCTTCTGTCACTTGGTGAAGTTAGTCCAAGTTTATCACATCTTGTCTTGTAATAAAGGTGCTATATATATATATATATATATATATATATATATATATATATATATATATATATATATATATATATATATATATATATATATATATATATATATATATATATATATATATATATATATATATATATATATATATATATATATATATATATATATATATATATATATATATATGAAGACCACACGGGTAAAACCACAGATGTCCACTTTTTGAAAATTTTGAGTTAGAGATATTTTTATGATATTCTAGTACTAAGCTATTTTAATTTTAAAAGTCATAACAAAAAAACTATGCTTTAAGTTTCTATGGCCCTTTTAAAAAAAGGGCAACTTTGAAACAACCACTGTTGTCGAATGTTTACTTGGTAAAAAACGCATTAGTCCCAGTTATTTATAATTAAGCCAATAGTAATAAAGCAATAAATCACGTGACCAACGGTTTTCTTTAAAAAAATATGGCGGCGGCTAATCTGAACAACCCTAATGTCACAAAAAAACCTAAAAAAAGCAATAAATGGAAGAAAAAGAGATTTTACTCGAGATCTGAAATTAAAAAGTCATGTTATAGGAAAACCATGTAACTGTATAAGTTTGAAGTGTTTTGAAGTTACAACCGAAGATGACAGAACAAAAGTTATATCATATTTCAACAACTTGAAAACAAAGGATGAGCAGGATTTGTATATTTCTTCACTTATTTCTGTTCATGGCATTAAGCGTTGACGAAGCAGAAAAAAACAAAGGATGAGCAGGATTTGTATATTTCTTCACTTATTTCTGTTCATGGCATTAAGCGTTGACGAAGCAGAAATTTAATAATAAAACAATCTAAATTTCATAGCTATTCATATAAGTACCATATATATATATATATATATATATATATATATATATATATATATATATATATATATATATATATATATATATATATATATATATATATATATATATATATATATATATATATATATATATATATATATATATATATATATATATATATATATATATATATATATATATTATATATATATATATATATATATATATATATATATATATATATATATATATTTATTTATTTATATTAAATGAATAAAAACAACTTTTGATGGAACTCTGAGTTTCATGCCTTTCGGCAATCATCAGCCATTGTGTATTTCGTCACTTAAAAACCGTTTAAAAATTACAAATTAAAATTACGGTGGAACGAATTCTGATGTTACCAAACAAAACAAAACAAAACAAAAAGACGTCAAAGGTTTTAGTCCCCGGTATCAAATAAGGATAGTAAAATTTTTTTTGAATGTTGGGACTTTGATATTATTTCATATCTTTTATTAAGTAAGTTTTCTCCTTTATATGATAATATGTGAAACTTCTCGCGGAGACAAAGATTACAAACTTTTGATGCTTTATTGTAGGGCTTACATTGTGCTATTATCTTCCATGTAATCACAGGATTTATATGTTTCGATTTTAGCTCCCATATTTCTTTAGAAAGCT